CAGCGTTCACAGACCTCCACTTTTCCCTATCTGCTTCCCCTCTTTCTTTTCACATAGTAATAAGACACACTTACCTGCCACAGTGTTCCAGTCCATCCTCAACCGCTCTTCTTTCTCTGTTATAGGCTCCCATTTTTTCAAACACCCACCAGTTACCAACATTTGAACGCTGCATGCACATATAGAAAACTCAACATTGCTTGCTCTGAGCACACCATCAGCTAATACTTCATCCTTCTAGCCTGAACTGCCTTTCTGATGGTCTCTATGGCAATAAAAAATACAGGCAAAATCTTGGGATCCATCTAAATCCTACCACTTCTGATCTGTAAGCGAATGGATTTTATACCTCCTCCATGATGCTCATATCTTAACTCACCAATGATTCCTAACCTTTGTAATCAGTTTTCATATCTTCTTTAGACCTTCATGTCTTTTCACCTCCTACACTTTGCAACAATCTTCTACAGGTTTGAGTCAGACTATGTTATTCTGCTAAGACTTTTTCATGAGTCCTTATTTGCTTTGAAAAACATAGCAGCTCTTGAGTAAGACAGATGGAGAGGCAGACAGACGCACATACATACACACATGTGCATACATGCATACTATGTATAATCTGACCATTGTCACCAACTCTTCACCATGTCCCCAGGATCACACCAGCTTTTAAAAGTTACCAGAAAAATCTCTGATACCATTTCTTTCTCCTTTACCATATTCTCTTCTATTAGTTCCTTTCTAGTTTTACTTTCTGCTTGGAACAGCTATCCATGGATCTCTAACCTCCATTTTGACCTCTATGTAATGCATCATTATTCTATATTTCTACAGTGTTCTGTCCTCCTTCAAAGTACTTGCAACTTGACATTGGGACTTACTCTACGCTGTTGTTTTAAATGGAGCATGTCTTCAAATCAAGCACTATGATTCTGTGCTCTATTTCTCCACAGGTACTTTATAGGCTGTAGGCAAGGCAATAATAACAAATTTGTGCCATGATAACAGATTCTTCATTCAGTGCTGGAAACTTCACATACTGACAGAGACAATATCATGTGTTTTGATGTGATTCATCAGCATGATAGAAGTGGACAGGTGAAGTATGTAGTAAATAAGCCCACTTGACATATCAAATACCAAATGAGCATTAAAATTAAGAAGTGACAATAGCCTCATGGAAGAGAGAGAACTCTAGGCACCTGCTTGCCTGTTAAACAAAGACCTGAAAGAAAGGATAAGACTTGGGCTAATCAAATGTAAGAACCTGAGGCAGAGTTACAGAGCAATGCACATTCAAATACAAAGTTACATGAGGTCAGGGATGGGGTGATCTTTGTTCCTCTGTCCATAAGGCCTTACACTTTTCTTGCTTATAGTAGCTGCTAAATAACTATTTCTTGAATGGAATTTTAAGCTGTGCAGCTGGCGATACAAGAAACATCTGTATATTTTTAAGACATTACTTCTCTTCATTTGCCATTCCATAAAAAGGTAATTTTGTGAATGTGTTTACTAGAACTCTTTCCTGAAAAGTGAAATATTGCTTCAGTTGGTAGGCAAATGTGCCATTTCAAATTGAAGAATCTGCCTCAAATGAAGAAAAAAAAGCTATTTTGGTCCATAATTCTCAGAGCCAAATTTGAATCGTAAAATGCACTTTTCATCAAAGAATCTTAACAAAAAGATTCCTGCCAATTTAACCAAGACTTCTAAAAATATTTCATTCCAGAGCCAAGCTTCCTGCTTAGCAGCATTCTGACTGAGATCATGGTTTCCGAAGATCTTCCACTGGGTAACGGTCACCAGAGTAAAGAACCTGCCAACTGTCACCACTGTCCTAGCAACTCAGAGTTAGACACTGTTTAGAAATTTTAGACTTCCTTCATGTTTTTCTACATTTCAAAGTTTTTCTGAAACTTTTATGTATTCAACAATTACAATAACAAACAAGAGTAACTAGAGACACATGTACCTTGGAGATGGAAGTCAATTAAACATGCCCTTTTCATCAGCCGGGACGAAACTACACCCTAGTGAAATGCATGACCATTGCACAGGTACATGGGGGAACAACCGAGTGGGTACTGGGTGTCTTGAATGCTTGCCTGGTTTTCACTAATCATTAAGTGCACACAACATCGTTTTCCTAAATCTGGTAGTTATCTGGGATGGTAGATATCAGGATAGCAGAAAGGGAATTATTTCTCTTCTTCGACACTTAAGGAAATCAAGACCTTTTGGACTGTGCATAAACTCAGGGTGACTAAGAAATGGAGTTGGTATCTCACACCTTTGATCCAGATCAGGATCTTTCTACCATTGTTATCTGCCAAACAAAATAAAATAAAACAAAGAAATCACATCAACACAAACCTTTAATCCTTTAGCTCAAATGAGTGAATGGCTTAGGGAATCTCATTCTTCGAAGGCAGATACACCGTAATGAAAGTTACAGCTACTAGAGACTATTTCACAAGCCATATTGAGGAGATTTCATTTCAAGAAATGATTCTTTAGATACTAAATATACCTGAAACATCCTCACCCTTGTCGGCCTTTATACAGTTTGAAATGAGCATTTATATTGAGCTACCACTGGGGTCAAATTCATCTGTTGCTTCCAAGATAATAACCTTAATTAGAAACAAGATAATAGTCACATATGTTACAAAAATGTTCTTTGGAGAATTAGTTTTAGGTAGCTGAAATAAATATAAGTTTTGCACAGCTCAAAGGGTAGCTGGACAGATCCATGAGTTTCAGCATTGAGCTAAGAAAGGAATCTGGCTTGGAATTTTTCACACTTGCTTCAAATCATTAATGCTACAATGTTGTCCCATTTACAAGCTGACATTTATTTTTGCACTTTCAACATCCCATGACTTCTCTGCAACAGTAAATAGCTCAAAGTGATGACACCCTGCCTCAGCTGGATCTATATTTTGACTAGCAGGTCTTGGCATTGTGTCCACCTCTGATATTTCTCCAAAATAGTGCATGCAGGGGGGGGGGGGATGGCAACAAAATTCACGAAGAAAATAAAAGTTTACCACTCCACCCCATGTAAGAATAAGATGCACCCAAGTTCTTACCCAACCTATTGTAGTAACCTGGAGTCAGCTGATGTGCATTGCTGCATCTTGTAGAAGCTTTTTCTTACTTTTCTATAAAATATCATCTTGTGATATCTTAAAGAAGCAGTTGCTAAAATAATATTTTATTGGAGAAAAGGAACATAAATCAAAATAAAGATAGATGTGATGATTCTGATGCAACCACACTTAGAAAACACAAACCCTTACTTGGTTTCTATGTAATATTCACGATAGTAGTTAACAATTCAATTTAGAGTCAAAGACCATGGAGGTACCCAGATTAGGACATTTTCTATTTTTTTTTTGTTGATTTCAAATATGTAAACTAATGGAGGACTTCGCAAATCCCACAAAAGCAAATATTTGAAAATCTGGGAAATAAATTTCTTAAGAAAGACATTCTCTATCCATGTAGGAGAATCTCCTGCTGTGTGTTTCCTAATCATTTAACATTGTCTTTCTTCTGTGTTTGGGTACCATACAATGAAAACAACAATTACAATGTGATTTCTGTTATTAAACCACTGCTGAATTAATTGATTATCCCCTTTGAGTTTCTGTAAAATAGTCAAAATCTTCAGATCATTAATGCCCAGCATCTATGATTGTTATATGAGTTGCCTCTTTGAATTCTGGGAATGTGGGAACTCCTGTCAAGTTGAGATGGGAGCTAGGCAGGTTAAATCCTAATACCTCAAACTTTTTGAGTTAATTAGTATGTCCTAAATTTCATGTCCCAGTGGCTGGCTTTGAAGTGTTTGTATAAAAGATTACACACTTCATCCCCTTCTTGAATTGTTTGTCCACTTTCAAGACAGGAGGACAGGAGGATGTCATACAACAATCTGAAATGTGCCGTGTGCTAGCAGATCTGAAAAGAATACTGGAATATTACATTAGGGTTCAGCCTATCTAGATAGACGTTCCAAAAGGGAAAAATTGAAGGAGAGAGAGAGAGAGAGACAGAGACAGAGAGACAGAGAGAGAGAGAGACAGAGACAGAGACAGAGATTCACTGGAGAAATGCCCCTGAGTTAAGAGGGGGAATCTGGGACACTTGTCCTTGTCATGCATGTCCGTAGTGCTCCAACATGGGCAGCAGGGGGCGCTCCTGCATGAAGCAACCCCCCCAAAAAGTGCTTCCCTGTTGGAGAACACAGATTATTCCTGCACCCCTCTTTCTTCGTGCTTGTTCTTTATCCAAAGAGGAACTGAGTATGACTGTCAATAAGTTGTTTGCGATTGGTACACATGATGAATAACATTGCAGCTTCAGTAAGAGAGTACACTTGCTATTAAACTTGCCTTTTGGAAGCAGAGTGGTCAGACTTTATTTTATCTCACTGGGACAGCAGAAGGGGTTAAAAGAGATGGAGAGCAGTTGGGGTGGGGACGCCGAATGTCATTAGGCATGAAGAGGGTTTTTCTCAAAGCAACAAGTGGGCAGCAATATTCCAGGAGCAATTATTTAGTCTCTTTGTGTTCAGTTAGTTTTTAAGATAGACGCCCTGGTAAATTTTCTATCACACTCAAATCCTCCTTTTCCCATGACCGACCCCCAAATCCAGGATTGTCAGTTGACAAACTGGGGCTTCCAAGAAGCTGTCAGAACCATAGATCCTGCAGGGGGCCTCCAGCATATTGCTGCCTTTTACAAGTGAGTGTGTGATGTGTTTTACTCACTCTGTGCTGAGACACAGTGTTGGATCCAAATTGGAAAAAGTGCAAAGAACCAGAATGAATTGGTCTGTGACTACATACACCATGAATTCCAGGGCAAAATACTGTGTCCCTGGTCCCCATTCTATGCATATATCCAAGCATAACACACCCCCAATGGCAGCCCTCTCCTATCCCCAAATGAAGGATTGCAGAGGCATAGCTGTGAACATTAATACTCACCATATTGACTTCAGAGACCATATCAATGCTGGCAATATCAATGTTCATTCCTACAGCCACAGGGGGACCTGCAAGCCAAGATGGACAGCCACGTGACTTCTCAGAACTTAGTCATTCATAACAAAAGTTGTCACTGGCAACCGAAACCCCCTGTCTAAAGTTAATCCTCGTGTCCACCACTCTCCTATTTCTTGGCCAGAGGAATGGGGGAACATTCTTCTAGGAATATGTACACATGTGCTTATGGGACAGGGATTCCAGCTGTGTGTCCACATGTCGACGTCTCCGCATGTGAATTCAGACACTCACGGCAGCAGCAGAAGGATTTAGCCCCGAGGATTTGTGTAGATTGCATTGAAACCCCCTCCTTTTTATTTTTACCCACACACTTCTGTGTGGAGGCTTTAACTCTTTGACTCCCATGAAGAATTTGAAGTGAAATTCAATTCTCACACTAGCATCTCTGGGGCTGCAGAGAGCGATGCCCTTTTCCCTCTGCTGTCTCTTGTCTCCGTCCCCCGGACCCCAATCTCTTCTATGTCATTTCCCTTTGAGGACAGGATAGTATCCAGACATGAGTCACTTTAAACCATGGCCAGAACTCTTCCAAAGTAGGTGGGCACAGGGAGTTGAGGCCACCTCTCAGTCAACTGCCTGAACATGCTGTCCTCAAAAATATTCACATTACAAGACAGCTCTGGGCACACTATTAAGTAAACTTAAAAGGCTTGTATCATAGGAAAGCTCAGTCTGGGAACAAAGATTTACCACAGCGAAGGAGATGGAAAACAGTTACCAAGTCCGATTACACGCTAAGGGGGTCATTTTTGAAAGACCTCTCAAGTGCTGGACACTAACAAACTGCCTTAAGTTTGGATCCCTTCTCAGCACGGTAAAATAGGGACACATTCCATACACCACATGCAGCTCCAACTAAGGAGAGGGAAGAGAGCGCACACAAAGCCCAAAAGACAGCTTCGGTTGGAGCCGGACTGTTTCTTATTTGCAAGTCAATCGTATTACCTCCAAAATCGGGTCTCAGACGAATGTCATAGCCTTTCAACAGTCTGTCCACCGTCTCTTTAACCAGCGACATATTGCTAGGGTCATTGACACTAAAGAAAAAAAATGACAATAAACAGGAATGAATAAAGAAGACAGCTCTGCATCTTCAACAGCCCTGCTCACGGAGAGGTATGCAGACAGCCCTGACAAGTGAGAAGGGAAAAAGACACTTACCTCTGAGCACAGACAGCGGCGACTATTAAGGGGAACGACCAAATCCCGAAGTAGCCCCTTTTCCGGACTCTCCACATCCCTTTAGTTTTTGATGGGATTGAGGGATTCACTGAAGAGAGGAGATCCAACTTAGTCTGCCCAGTGCAGTAATTCTAATGTGGAGCGCATGCGCACGTCGTACCAAAACATCAAAGGGGCAGCGGCGGCTGCCGGGGACCGAGATTTCCTTGTTTTTTTAAAAAAAAAAAAATTAAAGGGAAAAAAGGAAGAAAAACATTTATGTGTGTAATATGTACATGTTTGAATAATATTAAACTGTCAGTCCAGAAGTGCAGCCTGAATACAATCTTTGTTGTTTTTTTTCTTTCTTTAAGACAAAAGCAACCAGAGAGTCTGGTAAGTTTCTTTTGTTGCAGGAGGTAGTTTTGCACCTCACGGGTGGTGGGGTTTGTGTGTGTGTGTTTGTGTGTGTGTGTCCTTAAATATGAGGAATAAAGATTAGGAGGTGTGGGGTATAAGGGGTGGGGGAGATGGTTGCCTGAGATACCACTCCAGGTCTAGGCAGGTTGAAAGGGACGAGGAGTTGAACTTTATTTCCTTAAGAATAGCAATCCCCTGCCTGGGACAAGTGGAGGTGGTGAGGGTGGGGGTGGGGGTGGGAGCACTAACAGTGGGGAGGGGAGCAGTGGGAACCGGAGTCCGAGGAGCCTAAGAGAAACCAATGGGAGGAGTGCTGAGCAAACGTTGGATTTTGAGCGAGGGGGTGGGGAGTGGATTGAGAATATGAAAGAATCAGAAAGGGGGTGAGAAGAAAGGGAAAGGATACAGGAATTCTAAGATGCTAGTCTTTCCTGGGAGTCAAGGGGCAAGCTTTTTCTTCACTACTCACGAGCGATTTCTTTCTCTTCCTCCTGCTCACCCTTTGCCCCCTATTCCCCAAGAAGAAAACCTCGGGGTCCTGGTTTCTGGCGTTATGACGTTCCTGACCCGCTAGCCTGGCTATTTATAGCAGGAGGGGGAGGGGGCGAGGGGAGCAGTCAAGCAAAGGCATCTCTGGGTTTGGGTCTGACTCTGCACTGGGAAATTCTAAGTGAGCAGGGTGAGGTTTGACTGAGGGAAACGGGAGGTGGGGGCGTGAGGGACAGAGGGTGACTGGCACTTCAGCACAGGTACGGGCCAGGAAGCACCAAGTGAGAGGGCGGGTGGCGGGGTGGGATGCGCTCCTTCAGTCCCCCACGCCTCGCGGACGCACACGCACAGCACACACACACGCACAGCACACACACACACACACACACACACACACACACACACACACACACACACACACACAGAGGCACGAACATGGTCCCCCTCCACCCGCCACTCCTTACCTCACCCGCCAGAGCTCGCCGCCCACTACTGTAGCCCAACGGAGCTGCACCCCTGCCGCTCCACTCTGGCCAGCTAAAACTGCACCTCTGCGTCCAAGCCCAGTGTTTCACAGAAGGCAGGCACAACCAAGGAGCCCGCTAGACCGACCGCCTGAGCCCCAAACCACCTAACTCCATGCCCCCACTTTCCCTCTTTCCTTTCTTAACCCCCTTCCCTACGGCCCCAGGCACATTACCACAGACACCAGACTGAAACTCGGTTCATTTAAAAAAGCATTTCCTCTGCTCAGGGCGGGGGAAAGAGGGTGCAGAGAACACCGGGACTGGGGTGCCCCGGAGTCGTGTTCCCTAGCTTATCTTGGAGAGGGGGAGGGAACAGGGCAGGTGCTCCAACTACCCGTGGCACTCCTTGGTGCATAGGTGGAAGGGCAGAGCTCAACCCTGGGTCCTGGACACCAAAACTCAACTCATATCTACTACTGAGCTTTGTTATTATTTACGCAGAGCGCCTACTATGCACAGAAAGCCATGCTTAGTGCAATAATAGCTCGAAGTTGACACCATGATGTCCCCATTTTACGGGTTTAGAAATTGACACACAGAATCTGAGTAACATGCCCAAGGTCATTCAGGTGAAGGGTGAAAAGCAAATTGCGCTTTTAAAGTAGCGTCTCTAACCCTTAGACTAGACAATATCAATTCTTGAGTCCAGGACTTCACCCTCCGCTAGCTCCTTGCTGCCACGCGGGGGACCTCCAAGCGCCCGCGGCGCCTGAGAGACGGAAAGCACCCAGAACACACCCGGCTGGTGGTCCTGCTGAGAGCAGGAACCCAGAACCCATAGGGTCCACAGTTGGTATGGAGATGTAGGTTCCCCTCTGAAGGCACACTGTGGCCAGGTTTGGCTTCACTCCTGACCCACATACTACATGCCCCCGCCCCCCACCGCTCCGGGACAATTGAGAGTCGTCCTGGGGCAGCTTAGAGAGGTGATCGCAAGGGAACCATGGGGGAGGGATGGTTGCCAGGAGGAATTTGATAGCTTCTTTAGGATGGAGAACAAACCAGAAAGAAAGAGCTATTTGCTTTCATAGGCTGAGGAAGTTTCTAGGTTACAGACAGGTAAGGAATAGCGCCATAAACACAGTGCAGAGGTACTGCATGGTGCTTTGCTAGGCTGATGCTTACAGAAGTCCACACAAAGAACACACGCACAATACACACACACACACACACACACACACACACACACACACACGGGGTGGGGCAGGAGAAGGATTGCTGATTTCTCTTCCTTATCTTTGCTCTTATAGGAAGACTATTATTCAAGCTAAATATAATGAAGATAGAAAAATATGTTTCAGTAACCAAAGAATGTTCAAGGTAGTTAGCAAACAATATAACCTAATGATGAAGTCCTAGAAAGCTTATTTTCTTAAACAAAACAAAACAAAACAAAAACCCCTCAAATCCAAGCCTTCCCTTAGTTACCCCTCTAGTATATCACCTTCAGGGAGGTTCTCTTCAGAGTTTGGGTTGAAAGAAAGGAGTTCAGAAAACAAAATAAATTCCAAGCTACCCTCACATCCATCCAAAATAATAGTGATTCAATGAGTGATTAGACAAGGGCATACTAAAGATCTACTAGGGGTAGATCTTCTCAAACACCTAGAAACAACTTTGCAAGACGGTAGTGTCTCTAAGCTGTGGTCCCCCTCATTAATCTAATCTAGATGAATATTAACACTGGTTTCCCTACTGGGTTCCTGTGGGATGATGGAATTGTTGCAGCAGCATTTTCATGTGATTAGTACATATTGACAATCTTTAATGAACGGACAAGAAAGCAAACAATATTGAATGGCGCTCACTTTTAAAGATGGAAAGAACACAAATTGAATGCAATTATTATAAATTTGCCTGAAGAGAAGAAAGGAGCAGCCATTAGAAGAAAATCAAAAGAGCATTGTGGGAGATGAGAAAATAAAATGTCAAAAGATGAAAGGAAATTGGGATTTTCTTGTCCTCCACGTGGTAGCGGTCATTTATATCTTCTTACAGTGACTACAGGGAATAATAATAAAAATACATTATTTCTACTTATATGGTGAAAGATGTGCATGCCTAAAATAAATCTTACTGTGGTCCTTCCGGAGTCTTGACTCTGCAAGATTTGCAGGTATAGCTACTTAGGAAAATACAAAACTGGGGGTGGGGGAATCACATGCCATCTGAAGTTTGATGGAGTCATGAAGAAGATGATCCAAGATTCAAAATGTAAAGTCTCTGGGCAAAATGTCAGCACTCATAAGAGACTATATTTTTATAGTCATCTTAAGCATCAACTCTCTATGACTATTATTTTGTATAATATTCATTATCATAGACAAATGTTATTTGACAAGCATTGACAATGGTATTTTTGAAGACAGATACATTCTAGTAGGGCAAATGACTATCATATAACTAGTTGTAGATTGAGCCTGTGACGAAGGAAATAGTCTGCATTATTTTGGGAGGTTACTCAGTCTGAGGGTGTAGGTGAAGTTTGTAACTGAGTATGTGATCTATTGCGTGAAGTTTGAAAGGTAATCTATCCCTGGACTGGAATGAAACAGAAAGTCCTTCCTGTTGGTTAACTTCCATAGCACCTGGAAATTCTATGTCATCTATGCTATAGGAGATAAAGAACTGTATATTTCCCAGCTGTGAACCCTGTGAGCTATAGTGCCAACTTATCAGGCACGAGGCGCTCACTGGTGCAATAGTTGCCCAACTGGTACAAAGTAACCAAAAGTCTTTAAACTGGATTTGAGGCCCACTTCACAGGAGCGAATGCATGCCTGGTACTCTAAACTTGGTTAAAACCCTATTTTCAGGGGTATAATACACCTTGGGGGTTCACATCATCATTGCTAGCCTATAATAAACTTCTCTTTGCAGTGAATGGCCGTGAATTCAGAGAGTCAGGGATCCTCAAGATTGTTAGGCTATATGATGGATGAGTGCTCAGCTTTTAACAGGACATTTATACCACAACTTCTAAAGTGTAAAGAGGTACTAAAGTAATGTAAAGGCCAAAAGATGTGAAGAAAGCAAAATGCTATATTCAGGTTATGACACAGACATTGCAGTCATGATCTCACAGAGGCTGCAGGTGTGCTTAGCTGGAACAATACTGGACATGTTAGTAGATACTCCTGAATCTAGTAGGGGCTTATGAAACTCTACCCTACTCTGCTCAGCTACTGACAACTAATAGATTCTGTAGCAGGTAAAGTCATCACCTTCGGTGTGCACCAAACAGTGAGACTATCAGGCTCAGTAGATAATGCCAAACCTGTAGCCACATAAATGATCTTGGTTAAAATCAGTGGATCAAAAAATGAAACAGAGAGACATATTGTATGAATGAGGGGAGAGGACCTGCAAAATGGAGATGTGTGATAGAAGTGGAAGAAAGATAAGAAGGGGGAGTGAGAATAACTAGAATGTACTACATAGGAATGAAATAGTCAGAAAGCAAATTTAATTAATAAGAATGGAGATAAGCTATCCTGATACAGAGTTGAAGAAAGAACAGTAGGACTAGAGGGTGAGAGGAAGAGTAGCCACTGAAGGGCAATGGAAATGTTTGGAATATGGATATGTTTGGGAGCAGAAGTGTGGCTGATGAATCTTAGTCTCACTGGAGAATGACAGGTATGGCTGTAAGGGGTGTGTCAGAGCTAGGGGAAAATGCGGATGAGAGCTGTTGCTGCTCTGAATGTAAACAGTGGTGATAACAACAAGCAAATGCCACCTCTATCCTGGAGGCAAATAAAAAATATTTGTACACAGTAAACTATAAATCACTTAAATATATTCAACTGGAAACATATCAGTAAAAATAATAAAATAAGTCATTGTGTCAAACATTATTTCAGATTCTTTGTGTAAGGTAATATATTCAGGGCTAACAATATGCTTTAAGATGTATTTCCCCTTTATCACACTATGAGAAAACAAAATGTCAGTATCTTTAAGGTCACAATTTGTGAGACAATATTCAAGGGCTAAGGCCTTTCCTGATAGACGAAATCCTTGCATTCTGAAGTTCTCAACGTTTCCCACTGACTAAGTTAATATAACCGAAATAAAATCTCGACTCACACAGAAGTCTCTGTACTTTACGAATCAAATGACCAAGAGGCACCGTGGAGGCTTGAGTTATTGGCCATCGTTTGAAGCAGGACACCTTTCGGCACCACTTCAGCACCATCGATCTTCAAGAATACAGAAAGCAAAGTGCACCTCAAAGTTGGAAATGAAATTACAGATGCTTCAAATGGAGGCAAATTGTTCAATAAGGAAATTACCTAGAGTCCTACACTGCAGGGATGCTAATTACATTCACATAAGTCTCAGCAGCAATAAAGCACTACATCCCCTGCACTAGAGATGGATGGAATGGAAAGGAAGTTTTTGTTTGTTGGTTGTTTTTTTTTATTGTCAACTGTTTCTCAAAACCTAAATTTGAGGAATAAATAAAAGCTCCTTGTCAATATATATATGTGCAAACAGATGGACATGTGGCAACAAGAAAGAGCTATAAAGTAATTCCTCATATTCTCTTTTAGGTCTCTAATCAACAAGGAATGCCCAACAATGGATGATCTGATGTGTAGAATATGCATTTTTCTGGAACAATGGTCACATGCTCTTCTGGCCTTTCTTGTGCTCCTTTTTCACCATGTGTATCCTCTTGGCCATGATAGCTAATGACCTTGAAGTTTTTAAGCCTTTTGAGAGTTTAACGAAAAAAAATGTATATTTTTCATAAAGTAAAAGCTAATAACTGCCAGAGTTAGACTTGGTGGTACATACTTACCGTCAAGCTATCAGGAGACTGATATAGAAAATTTCAAGTTCCAAGCCACCCTGGACTAAATAGCAATATGCTATCTCAACAAACCAAATTCAAGCAAAGCTAATCAAAGCAATTAAAAGAATGATGGTAGGTATTGTGGGGCACACCTTTAATCCCAACACTTGGGGGCAGAAACAGGCTCTCTATGAGTTGGAATCCAGCCTAGTTTACATAAAAGTTTCAGGCTAGCCAGGGTTACATAGCAACAAACCTGTCTCAAAATAATCCATATGGTGCTGAAA